CAGCCAGACTGCGGCATAGTGTTAAGGATAAGGCAAGCTGTTTGGCTATATTGGCCCAGCAGAGCAGTTCCTGAACAATCTTTTACTACCTGATAGTTTCTCCAATGGTCTCTGAGCTCTCTTTTTGATGGGTATGACAAGAAATTTATTTCCACAAGCCCGAAGTATCAGGGGGTGGAACAAAGGCGGGCTTGGTGACAAGGCAAAGCCATGGTGTAGTTTGATATCTGCATCAGTGACCTGTGTCCTTATTTGAGGGGGGTCTGAGGCCTGAGTCTGGAATAAAGGATTTCATAAGCAGAAGAAAGACTTAGTGAAAAAGAGATTCTGGGGCTGTATCTCAGTGGCGAAGTGCTCGCCAGGCACTGAGTTTGATCCCTTAGCACCACATAAAAATAAACATGCTTTCCATTAAAAAAAGAGAGTCTGGGGGCTGGGATGTGGCTCAAGCGGTAGCGCGCTCCCCTGGCATGCGTGCGGCCCGGGTTAGATGTGTCTGCCGAAAATTAAAAAATAAGTATTAAAAAATTCTCTCTCTCTACCTCTCTCTCCTCCCTGTCTCTTTAAAAAAAAAAAAAAAAAAAAGAGTCTGCCTTTCCACTGTGGCCTGATGCTTACAAGGAAAAGTGGAAATTAAGCTGCAGGGTGGGAGCAGAAATTCTCCCCAAAAGTAAAGTTGCTTCCTGAATTATTCCTAAAGCCTTGAGACACTTTGTTTCCACAGATTGGACAGGCGATTATATCTCAATCCTTGATAATCCACATAAAAAACGTGCTCTGAAGGCAAAAGCCAGGGTAGTGCAACTTCCTTTGCCAGGTGTTGGGGGCTGGCCCTTGGCAGAGGAGCAGAGGGCTGCCCACTTTCTCAGTGAACTTCCATTTCTGTCGTGTGCTTCTTGTGAAGAGTCACTGTTAAGAGTCAAACCGACTTCTTTTCCTCTCCCTCTCTCTCTCTCTCTCTCTCTCTCTCTCTCTCTCTCTCTCTCTCTCTCTCTCTCTCATCTGGAGGAGGGGCCTCCGTACTAGGCCTCCTTCGTATCTGCCCCCTCTGGGGGGTGTGTGTGGCTCTGTGATAGACAATCAAGTGGATGCTTCTCTTGCTTTTCTAAAGTCACAGTGACAAGTATTCGTTTTCGCTTTGATTTTTCCTATTCAGGAAATTCAGGACACAGTACAACCTTCCAAAATGAGTACTCTCAGCGTGTTTCGGGCTGCTATGGGTTGTCACAGCTGCAGCGACCTCAGCAGTAGACATACCGGTCATTGCAAAGGTTGACTTTTCTAAATAACATTTTTTTGCAGATGATGAGTGCCCCAGTCTGGGAATTCCCCAGGAATGCAACTAGAATAATCAGAGGTTACCATGTCGCTCGTAGATTAAATTTGGCGGCTTTCCTTTCTGCTTTCCCTGCTTCCTTTTGTATTTGCTAAATAGAAATCATATGTGGAATAAAAGTGTTGTAAAGCCCAGAAACGCAGAAAATGGTTCTAAAACAACAACAACAAATTCACTTTGCCTCTTTTCTTTTGGTAAAAACTAGAGACCATCCCCAGATCCACACAAAACACTTGGGTGGGTGGGAAACGAGGTGCAGGAACTTACAGCAGGTCCATCGCCCTGGTTTCTGAAGGCGAGAACAGCGCAAAAGGAGAGGCCCCGCTGGGATTCGAACCCAGGATCTCCTGTTTACTAGACAGGCGCTTTAACCAGCTAAGCCACGGAGCCAGCACGCCCTCCGCGCTCCAGATTGGGAGGGAAAAGGGAGGCTCTCGCTCCTGCAGCGTTTCCCGCTTCCTAGGTCCCGGAGCCGCCCGGACCCGCTGGACCCAGCGTGGACCTGGCCTCCGCCGCCACCGGGGCGCGGCCTTCGTCCCTGGGCTGAAGACCCTGCCTCCCCTCGCGCCCTCCGCGAGGTCAGGAGCCGGCTAGGTCCACTCACCCAGCGCCGAGCCGGCAACTGACCCGACCCGGCGGGAGCTGAGGACCCGCGACGACTCCGCGCGGCCCTGGTCGTGGGCGCTGAGCGCTGCTGCCCGCCCGCGTCCTCCCGGCTCTCGGTCCACGGAAGGCCTCCCGGGCGTCCAGCTCGGGCCGCTCCGCGAGGCGCCCACAGCTCGGCCCTCGCCGCGGCCCCGGGGTGGCTTCCCGAGGGGAGGCCGCGCTCGGCCGGCGGTGAGTGGGAGCGGACGCTGGGCGCGTCGTCCACGCCCGAGGCTCCCGGCCCTTCCCCAGATTCCTTGTCTTCACGGAAGGACTGAGGGTCCACCGACAGCATGGAAGGACTGAGGGTCCACCGACTTCACGGAAGGACTGAGGGTCCACCGACTTCACGGAAGGACTGAGGGTCCACTGACTTCACGGAAGGACTGAGGGTCCACCGACACCTTGGATGGCTGAGGGTCCACTAACAGCATGGTGAAGAGAGGCGCACCTAGGTGTTTAGCAGTCTATGATGACCATCGGACATTAGGGGCTTGCATCGTATTTGGTCAGGAACAGGGCGATGACAGCACAGCCACACCTTTGACCAGCCGTGGCAGGCCACCAGACAGCACCGGCAAATAGAATGTGGTTTGGGTTTTCCTCTGACCGACAGCTGAAGACTTTAAGGAGCCAAATTAAGTTGTTTAAACTCCAGAGCTAAGTCTTGGAAGAAAACTGAGTCCGAGTGATCCTTTTACAAAAATCTGGGTGTGAGCCCGACCTTCCATTCAGGTTCCACTGACCAGGAAGGATCATGAAAACCTCACATAGGCTCTGCTCCACACATGACACTGGATAGGTGCAGGCCCTGTGTCACAGGTTGCGCGCAGTGAGGTCAAGAAACAGCAGGGGCAAACAGTGCTGCCTGTTGGACACCTGGGAGCAAATCAGAAATAACAGGACAGGGAGCATAGAGGAGAGTCCACCACTGTGCTAGTTTATGTGTCAACTTGATTAGGCCATAAACACTGATCCAGATGTTTCTCTGAAGGTGTTTTGTAAATGTGGTTAACAATTACAATCAAGTACCTTAAATAAAGGGGATTATTCTCAGTAATGTAGGTAGGCCTCACCTATTTAGTTGAAAGACTTTAAGAACAAAGTAGGCTTTTCTGAGGAAAAAGAAATTCTGTTTCAAGGCTACAGCATCAGCTTCTGTCTGGGTGTTTCCAGCCTGTTGACCTTCTGTGTGTCAGACTGGCAGAGCATGTAAGCCAATTCCTACCAATATGCGTGTATGTACTTAATACAGTATATGTGTTCATGGATTTAATCTCCTACTGGTTCTGTTTTCTTCCAGACTGTTTTTCTGACTTACACAATCACTAAAGAAAAGACTGAAAGTCTGAAATTTGGAGTTGGAACTGTCAAAAAAGAATACGCTGGAGAAGAACAAGGTGAAACCATACCTTGCTGTGGACCTGGCTGGGAAATTTGAGAAAGACCCTCAAAATCTGCAAAACAAAAGGAGGTTTCCATGGACAAACACTGAGAAAAGTGTGGACAGAACCTCCAGCCAGCTGGAGTAAGGCCGTTTTGGAGATACAGGATGGGACCTCTGACTTTCAGAGATGTCCTGGACCCTGCCTCCCATGCTAGGTCCGTAAGGAGGTAAAAGAGGACCCTGGGCAACCAGTTTGCTGTGTTTGGAGCACTGTTTCTCCATGTTCCCAAGTCCCTTTTCAGAATAAAAATCTCTTGATTTTAAAGGGGAGACCACTGTGAAGTTGGATAAGAAAATAAATGTTTATTTTGAATAACTCGTTACTGAAATTGCATGTTTTCTTCCATTATGGATGTAGAAAACAAACCATAGTTGTGTTTCAGCCCTCATGGAAAACACAAGCATTTTCACACCAAAATACAGTTGTTGCAAGCTTCTTAAAACATCACTTATCGTCAACACTGCTTTTAAATTAAGTATTTATCAGACCTCCCGCACGTGGGCTAGAGATTTACCTCTAGTACCTCAATCAAGGAGCACAGCATCATGGAGTAACCTAAAATATGTTGATGACATTTCAACATAGCTGGTTCCTCCTGAAATGGTGTATGTGTACCCTTTTTTCCTTTGTGTTTTAAAGGTATTGTTCCAAGCTGCAGTCCCACGTCACCGAACTGCCCCGGGGTCTGCGAACAGAACCTGCCGAGCGGCGGGTCCAAGAGCAGGTCCACCCCGAGCTGATGCAGAAAGGGCGCCCAAGGCGTTTCCGGGGGTGGCTGAGACGCAGGAACTGGAGGCAGAGCCTGTCCTGCTTGGTGGCCTCCGCTCCCCTACGGCGCTCCCTGGGCCGGGGATGGATCCCTTCTCAGACCCACGGGAGGACTGGACCCTGCACCGGAGGCGCTGTCCGCTGAAGGCCTCCGCGCGGGCAGAGGTGGCGGCCCCGAGCACTACGCAGGGAGAGGGCGCAGCTCAGTTCTGCTTAGGGAACTTTGAAAAAGAAAACTTTAATGACCTATAAAGGGACAAAAAAAAAAAAAGGTCGAATCAGGCCGCCGACGCGGACTCGGGTTTCCCGGCCCCGTCGTGTTCCCGGTCTCCCCAGGCTCCGCGCTCCCTTCCCGCCTGGCGCTGTGCGGTCCGTCCCCACCGCACCGTTTCCCCGGGGCGCAGGTGGCAGGTTTTCCTCTAGGCTCCACCTGAGGCCCGGAGCCGCCGCGTCGGTGAATGGAATGCACGGGTGGAAGGACGGTGGGCAGAATGGACGCGGCTCGCGTCTCGCGTCTCGCATCTCGCGGCCCCTCTGGGGTGGCGGCAAGAGGGGCCGGCGACCAGGCGCTGCGAGCCTGGAGCGTTGGCGGGCGCAGCCCTCGGCAGTAGCCAGACCGCGGCCTTGCTTTTAGGAAGGGGCGCGGCCGAGGGAGTCAGCACGTGCGGGCCAGTGGCGCAATGGATAACGCGTCTGACTACGGATCAGAAGATTCCAGGTTCGACTCCTGGCTGGCTCGGGGTGTACGAGTTCCTTTTGCTCCTTCCTTCTCCGCACCCCCAGGGGGCGCCGAGGAGTAAAAGACCAACGCCAGGTCTACTCGGCCCGAAAGTCCCAGCAGCCCCCGGGCCGCGCTTCGCCGGGCCGCGCGGCCAGTTCGTGGCCCCCTCGCTGGTAGGAACCTGACATGGCCTACGTGGGGGGGGGGGGGGCAGCGTCCAAGACGAGTCGCTAAAATATGAGGCCCCATCCTTAAAAAATGTTTTATTTATATGACAAAGAGGGAGGGAGAGAGACTGGGATCCAGACTACGCCCTACTCGCTGGCGTTTGGGTCTTTTTGTGGAGCGAGAGAAGAACTGGGTTTCTTCTAATTCCAGCGCCATCCTGCCCTACTCCCCTACGCGGGTCGCCCGCTGGCTCCGTCGGTGACGGGAGCACCGCAGAACACCGGCGCGGAGGCAGGCCAGGCAGCGCGTTTCCGTAGTGTAGTGGTTATCACGTTCGCCTCACACGCGAAAGGTCCCCGGTTCGAAACCGGGCGGAAACAGCGACTTGCCTTTTGGCGCATTCTTTTAACGTGTGCCTCTCACTCCACGCTCCGCTGGCCCGGGGCAGGAGGGCGCGGGCGAGCCGGAGTGGCCGCAGGTCTGGCGGTCCCGCAGCTCCTACCCCGCGTAGTGATGCCTCCAGCGCCACTCGACTTTTGAGGGGGGAAAAGTTCACATTTACCTGAACCTGGGGAGAGTGCGCTTGTACCGGAACCTGGGGGGGGGGGCAGTGCATGTGTACCCGAGCTGGGGGGGGGCAGTGCACCTGTGCCCGAACTGGGGGGGGGGGAATGCATGTGTACCCGAGCTGGGAGGCCAGTGCACAGGTACCTGAACTGGAGGAGAGTGCACAGGTACCTGAACTGGGGGGAGTGCGTGTGTACCTGAATTGGGGGGGGGGAGAGTGCAAGTTTAACTGAACTTGGGGGGATGTGCAAGTGTACCTGAACTGGGGGGGGAATACACGTGTACCTGAAGGTGGGGGGAGAGTGCACGTGCACCTGAACTGGGGAAAAAAATAATGCACCTGAAAAATGGAGGGCCGGGTTACTTCATATGAGGCTTTTATTAAAGACCAGTAGCAGATGTCTCAAAATTGGAGTTACAAGACTACTAACTATATTTTCCTTTCTAATTGTGAATTGATAAAGATGTTAGTTTGTCATTTTATGTTGTCACTTTCCTCTACTAACTATTCTTGATCCATTCTATTTAGCAAACCACACTGACCCTGCCTTCTCTGCCACACAGGTCAGGACCTAAGAGGCTGTGCTCGGGAACCTCAGAGTGGGTCAACATTCGTGTCCTATGTTGGACTGCAGAGCCCAAAGGTTAACTCGGCTGGCTCCACAGGCGGGAGTGGGAGAGCAGGGAAGATGGTAGAGGGCCTCCCAAAGGTGCAGGGAGCTCTAGCTGACAAATAAGCACCTGGAAGGTGGGGCTTTGTATGTTAAAACCTACCTCAGACTTAAGAAAATATACCCCTTCCTGACCAGGTCTCCGATTCTCTTGCAATCAAGTCTCCAAGACTCTCCCTGTGTCACCACTCCAATCACTGTGATAGGCCAACATCAAGACCCTCACAGAACCAGGTGAGGGCTATTCAAAGGGTAACCACTGATTAAGAAGTCAGGAAGTAGAGGCAAAACTGTCTCAATGTCCTTGAAGACACTGGAAAGGGTGGTGGGGGGTATGGGAGGTACTCCTAATAAAACCTGAGGACAGGAGGGGACAGCAGTCCCTGTCCCTTCTGAGAGGACCCACTCTCTCCTTTGGTAGGTATTGCCTTTCCCCTTTCTTATTCCTTCTAATAAACTAAGGCCGTTACATTCCCTCAGTTTCTTGGAAGCCCGGGCTGCGCACCATTAACACTGTTGCCACACGTGAAGGGATGGGCTTCCTGGAGCCTGTTGACACCCGAACTGCAAGCTGAAAACAGGAGCTGGTCAGGCAAGAAGTAGGGAGAGGTCTGATGGTAAGAGTAAGGGCATTTGCAATGTGGTCAATGTTTAATGAATGAGTTATTGAATCAGAAAATAATTAAAATGCATACACAAACCAGTATGTTAGGTTTTTTACTTTAATAATCTTAAAAGTGCCTATTGTTTACCAAATAACTTTGTGTCCAGTGATTTCATGCATAATATTATTCCCACAACCCAATGTTGTGGGATATTATCCTCCCCGTTTAACTTGATCTTTAGTGAAAAAAAGGCAAACAGAAATTAAGTAACTTGCCTTGAGGTCAAAATAAATTAGTAAAGTCCAGAATAAGTCCCAGATCTGTAATATCAGGACCTAGAAGTCTCCTCATGTTGAAAAGTTTAAGGATTAGTGGTTTAAGTTCAACTGTGACCCATCCAAAACAATAATGGGGTGTTTCTGAGTAAATGAAGGAATGTCCAAGATGCCATTAGGAAATCATCTAATGTAAGTATCGGCAGCCTTCTACAAGCTAAAGAGTTGTGCTTTCCAAGTAAGACAGGTAATGACAAAATGACACTCCCAGGGGATTTAGGATCTTAGCTTATCTTCGGCAATGCAAATCTTGAAGAGATGTTGTTTCTGGACAAGGAACTTAATAGAATTTTTTAGACAGAAATTATTCCCGGAGAAGTTGGGCTGCGGGAATGGTTTCCAATATTCTATAGCGCAGACACTATAGTTGACAATTAGTAGAAACTTTCAAATAACCAGTAGAGAGAACTTTGAGTGTTCCCAACACCAAGAAAGGACAAACGTCTGAAATCAGAGCCATCAGCTACCCCAGCTGATCACCAGGCATGCATGTTGACACGGACTGAAATGCCACAACGTACCATACCTGCACGCTTACTACGTGTCAGTTAAAAATTACAAACACCATAAAAGACACGTATTCCTGAAACAGCGAAGAGCAAATCATAGGTCGGCCTTCCAACCTCCTTGCTCTCGCTAAGGTCCACTGGACTTCATCACAATACTGGATCACGGCTACCCGGAAATCCGGGGCACTGACGTGGCCGGAGTGATTACGTCATGACGTTTCCGACCCTTCAACCTGAGCCCCAGCCGCGGGGGTGCTGGAAAGAGGAAAGAGGGGGCTACGCGATGTCCTGCGTCCGCCCCCGTCCCATTGCCTCCCTTCCTCCCCCGGGGCCAGCGACCCCGCGGAGGCTCTCACGCCTCTAAAAACCCTCCGCATCCCCTCGGATCGCGCCGCGATTTTCCACAGCCTTCTCGCTGCCCGAGCGCGCAGCCAGAGCCGCCCAGCGCGCGCCCGCCCGCCCAGACTTCCGGCCGCTCTAGGATGCGCGGAGGTCGGCGCTCTCGGTGTCAGCTGGCGGGTGGCCGGGATCCCCTCAGCAGGGCAGGCTGGTTCTGGGGGTCCAGAGCCCGCTGGGCTGCACGTGGCATCTCCCGAGCGGTGGTCTGATGGCTTGTTCGGCATCTTAAGTTTCAAGGGCTGGAGCCCTCCGACTGCAGAAGGAAGCCCATGGAGTCCTTTTAGAAATCACATTTTTAACAGTATCTAAAAAAATACCGAGGATGACAAAGAAAATCTAGTATATTACAAGTTATCAATTAAAATAACTCGTGACCTAGTAATATGTGTGCGTCTTCATTGATGTGTTAAGTATCAAGCGCTTAGACCCGCATGACTGTTAACTATTGGTAACCACCGTTTTGGAATACAAAAAGGTGTGGTTTTGTTGGTGAGAAAATCTTGGTACGTCTTTGCACTGTGTTTACTGTGGCTTGCGGCAACAGTCATAAGTGGTGGAATGTAAGTTTCCTTTGTAGGTTGGAGATGAATTCCCGCGGGGGCGGGGGCGGGTGCCTGTTATCCAAGCGACTTGGGAGGCTGAGGCAGGAAGATGGCAAGTGGGAGGCCCTGTCTCAAAAAAAAAAAAAAGTCTGGGGTTGTGGCTCAGTAGTAAAGTGCCCCTGGGTTAAATCCCCAGTACCAATTAAAAAAAAAAAAAAAAAAGGTAATTCCTGCCTGCCTGCCTCCAACTTCACCAACCCCCAGATTAGGAAACCCTGAGGTGCTCACTTGCTTTTGGTTTCGTGGTGCTTGGGGTTGAACTCAGGGCCTGGGCCTTCTCAGCACTCACATTACCAATAAGCGATGCTCCAAGTCTCCATTTTTCTTTCTTATGTATTTATTTTTTGTTGTTGTTTATTAAAGGTTTGTTTGGTTGGTTGTAGATGGATACAGTATCTTCATTTAGAATTATGTGGTGCTGAGGATCAAACCCAGTACTTCACATGTGAGGGGCAAGTGCTATACCACTAAGATATACAGCCCCAGTCCTTCCAAAGTGCTTTCTTAACACGCTGCCTAGCACATTAAAAGCCCTTCATAAATTTAGAGATTGGTAATTTTATTGTCGTTTTTTCTTTCACCCAACCAGATTTCTTTTAGGTGACCACTGAGACCAGGACAAAGGACAGGTGGCTGTGAGGAACTGATGTGACTCCACTTTTGAAAATAGATAAATAACAGCAGCTTCTACCTCAAGGCCTGTCCTAAGGAAAGGGGCATGACCCTTGTCCATAGAAAAACCCTCAGAGCCTTTCTAGGCACACATCCACCCTGCTGAGTTGTTTGTAAATAATGGGAGAGATCTGCAGCGATAGGTGTCCCTGACTCAGTTAGACCAGAGACCTTGTGCCTAATAGAAGAAAAAGTGGGCCCAAATCGTCATCATATTGGCTTAGGACCTGACTTCCTTAACCAGACTCCTAAAGCCCAAGAAGTAAAATCAAGAATCAATAAATGGAATGGATTCAAACTAAAAAGCTTCTTCTCAGCAAAGGAAAAAATCAATAACGTGAAGAGAGAGTCTGCAGCATGGGAGAAAATCTTCACCGCAAGCACCTCAGAAAGAGTACTAATATATCCAGGATATATAAAGAACTCAAAAAACTTAACACCGAAAAACCCCCATAATCCAATCAACAAATGGGCCAAAGAACTGAACAGACACTTCACAGAAGAAGAAATAATCCATCAACAAAAAAATGTTCCAACATCTCTAGCAATTAGAGAAATGCAAATCAAAACTAATCTGAGATTTCATCTCACTCTAGTCAGAATGGCAATTATCAAAAATACAAACAATAAAAAGTGTTGTCGAGGATGGCGGAAGGTACAGTCATACATTGCTGGTGGGACTCCAACTTGCTGCAACCACTAAGAAAGCAGTATGGAGAGTCCTCAGAAAACTTGGAATGGAACCACAATTTGAACCAGCTATCCCACTTCTTGGTTTTTATAAAAGTACTTAAAATGGGCAACTTCAGTGTTGCAGCCACATCTATGTTTATAGTAGCTCAATTCATACTAGCTAAACTATGGATGTAATGTTGGAGTCTGTAAACAAGTCAAAATAACACCTGGCATTTTGCCAGGGGAATGTTAGAGTTTGTAAACAAGTCTGTATGGTGCCTGGCAAAATGCCAGAGGGAGTGGTTTGAGAAGTAACAAAAGCAAGCCATTAAGTGTGGAGATTCCTGATTGGTTGACTGATGTATCTAGTTTATGCTAATTAGATAAGCTGTGTGGAATGTATAAATACTGCTCCTGTCCTGCAATAAACAGGACACATGGAGTCAGAATTAGCAGGCAGTCAGTATAGATAGGTAAATCGAATCAGGTCAGATGGAGTCAGGCCAATTTTGAGTGAGTCCAGAAAGTAGGAGACTGTCCCCTGAGGGATTGAGACGTTAACTCCTCCAGAGCCCTTCTTCCACCCTTATCAAGAAACTGTCCCTGCTCCAACCTGTTGCTAAGGTCACCTGTCCCAGGAATTGCCCCTCCCTACAGGGAGCTAATTGTAAATTAATGTGTCCTGAGCTGCTCCATCCTGCCCTTCCCCCTTCAGCCCACCTGTTCCCCACCTTTGGACCATCCTAGCAAGCACTCTTGGGACCTAGTCACTTACACAGGAAAGAGAAAGGTAAGGGGGAAAGGTCAGAGAACAGAGGAAGCCTAGGACATACAAAAAGGGCAGAACACCTTCTTCTTGGGATACCAGGACACCAGCTATGGCCCCTTCTCCCTCCCGAGAGAAGTCTATGTTACCCCTTTTTGATAAACCCTGCTTTATATGCTTGCCTCGGCGTGCTTCTCTAATGTTCAAACTTCACGGTAACCGGTGGTATTACATATACACACTGGAATATTACTCAGCCTTAAAGAACAAAGAAATAATCCTTTCTTGCAGGTAAGTGAATGGAAGAAGAGAATATTATGCTAAGTGAAATAAGCCTATTCCAAGAAACCTAAAGGCGGAATGTTTTCTCTGATAAGCAGATGCTGATCCATGGGGCGGGGTGGGTGTGGGGGTGGTAGCACAGAATGAAGGAACTTTGGATTGTGCAGAGGGGACTGAAGGGAGGGGTGGGACTGTGGGGGTGGGAAGAACAGTGGAATGAGACAGACTTTATTGAAGCCAGATTTAAAGGAAAATAGTGTAGCTAGGGAATCGGGTCTGATGGGGAAAATGGAGTCCGATTTGAGTCTGAGAAATCAGAAACCACACCTGAGAAACTGAAATATTAATGTTCCCAAGCCCAGGCCTATACTGCCCATCCTAAAGAATTATTAATGAAGCAATTCCTGAGCAGACAGGGAATTGTTAATTAATTTGCCCTGGGCTCTCTTCCTGCCCATCTCCCTCCAACACACACTTCAGCCCACCTGTTCCTCACCCAAAACCTGCATTGCCCATTACATATGCAGAATAAAGGAAATGAACAAGAAAAAGGAGAAGAATGTAGAGGGACAAAGGAAACTTTGGATAAGGGATGGTGGGCACCGGGACACAGGCCTGTAATCCCAGAGGCTAAATCAGCCTCAGCAAATTAGCAACGCACTTAGAAACTCAGTAAAAAAGCCTGTCGCTAAATAAAATATAAAGAAAGGCTGGGGATGTGGCTCAGTGGTTGAGCATCTCTGGGTTCAATTCTCAGTACCAAAAAAAAGGGGGGGATGGGACTTACTTATCTCATGGATTCTGCCTCATGAGTTCCCTTCTTCCACAGGGAGAAGTTTCTCTAAGCTTGCCTTGGTGTGC